GCTTGTTGTTTGTCATTTCTCCGATCACAAATGCAGACATGGTTTTATGTTTACGCGGCGCGATAAGTCATTATAATCAGTAATTATGTCCCCACTGGATGCAACGAATGCCTCGTTTATAATGGGTTTTTATGTTTTTGAATCATCGCTCCGGCCTAACATGGCATCAACAGTATGTGAGGGGCATAACATTTCCGTCACACGCTTGAGGTATTCGGCCAATCACAACACACTGGATAGCCGGCCAATCAGAGCACACCTCGCTTTTCAGACCGATGAGCTTTGTAAAATAATGTGGAAAATAATGTGTTTTTTAACCTTAAACCGCATAAACACATTTCATTACACCTAATACACAAAATAATGTTCTTTTTAGCAACATCATATGACCCCTTTAAGTTTTAATTTTTTTGTTGTGTTTTTTTGTCATTTTTGTAAATTTTTGTAAGTTTTTTTCATCCGTCAATACAGTTTCGATTAATTTTTATTTCAGTTTCAGTTTTAGTTATTTTAATACAGGATAAACTAAATGAAAATGAAAAATGTTCTAGCTGACTATAATATTACTGCATGCAACTGAAAGTTGTAATTAAGTTAGCAGTGCCTACTTTGTTATTCTCCAATACTGCTCTGTTAATAAAATACGTCCTGTGTGAGATCTGATCATCACAGTTGTGTTGGTGTCATTGATGTCACACCTGGAAGGAATGATGTGATTGGTTAAGCAGATGTATTGATCTAAATCAATGTTCCAGAACGATCCCTGTCAATCACTGCTGGATCTCGTGTTCATCTGCTAACATTCCTCACCAGACACGAGCCAGTAAAGTGTTTAAATGAGTATGTAGATGCACTTTCTTATCTGTGCTGTTTTGAACTTTTAACGGAAATGTAATTAGTGTGAAGCAACTGTGAAGGCAGGATGTTGACATGGTTTTCTAACTCACTTCATTATGCCACCGATCACATTATATGTTCTAATTGTGTTATACTGGAGTTTGAATTTACTGCAACTTTTTTCTCTTTGGCTCACATTCATTTTCAGAAATTTTAACACAATATATTTTGTAATATTATGCAAGCATTGCATTCAGAGCTAATTTATGAAAATCATACATCGTCCACTTAATTTTGCATGGCATATTTGTGAAATTTAACCTCTCAGTGTATTTGTATTATAAAATTAAGGCAGTGTTTCATCTGAAGTGTGCTGCCATCAATTTTGCATGTGCTCAGGCAAACGAAGCAGCTTTAATTATGACCATCTGCATCTGTTTCGTAGCTCTGAATTCATGATGTAACACAAACAGGGGAAGTTAACTATCTATTAAGGTGCTTAGGGAGAAAATGGATTACTGTAGGTTTCACTTTCAAGGAAAATAATTACAATCCATATGCAATCTGTTTCATATTTCACATACATGAGATTGAAGAGTATTATTTTTATGGACAGATTTGAGATTAAGTGAACTACCAAAGCTTCATAACCAGATCGCAAGCCCAGAAAAGCAATTAAAATTAAAACAAATTATATATATATATATATATATATATAGTGGTGTGAAAAAGTTTTGGCCCCCTTCCTGATTTTTTTTTTTTTGCATGTTTGTCACACTTTAATGTTTCAGATCATCAAACAAATTTAAATATTAGTCAAAGATAACACAAGTAAACACAACATGCAGTTTCTGCTGAGCAAAAAGAACATAAAGGCTCATCTCAGTTTTGCCAGAAAACATCTTGATGATCCCCAAGACTTTTGGGAAAATACTCTGTGGACTGACGAGACAAAAGTTTAACTTTTTGGAAGGTGTGTGTTCCATTACGTCTGGCGTAAAAGTAACGCTTTTATCGAGTATATCTCAATTGCAGATTCATTGCAAGTTATCGCAAGCGCTTGATTGCAGTTGTTGCTGCTAAGGGTGGCCCAACCAGTTATTAGGTTTAGGGGGCAAACACTTTTTCACACAGGGCCATGTAGTTTTGGATTTTGTTTCTCTTAATAATAAAAACCTTCATTTAAAAACTGCATGTTGTGTTCACTTGTGTTATCTTTGACTAATATTTAAATTTGTTTGATGATCTGAAACATTAAAGTGTGACAAACATGCAAAAAAATAAGAAATCAGGAAGGGGGCCAACACTTTTTCACACCACTGTATATACGTATATATATATATATATATATATATGATATTTAGGTTTCACTTTCATATGAATGATATAAAATACTTTTATAGACAGATTTAAGATTATGAGAAGATTCCTAACAACCTGATCACAAGCCTAGTAATTAAAAAAATCGATATATATATATATATATATATTTAAGTATATAATTTTGTATATGTATTACATATAAAAATTACAATTAAAAAAAAAATATATATATATATTGTAATTTGTATATATGTTTTTTAACCAGCAGTACTTGTTCATTATTTTCTCTGAAAGCATAATAATAATACTAGTAATAATAAGATATATATATATATATATATATATTTAAGTATATAATTTTGTATATGTATTACATATAAAAATTACAATTAAAAAAAAAATATATATATATATTGTAATTTGTATATATGTTTTTTAACCAGCAGTACTTGTTCATTATTTTCTCTGAAAGCATAATAATAATACTAGTAATAATAAAAACAATAATAATAATATTTATTTAATATCCATAGATCTATATTTATATGTCTGAGCACCTGGAGAAAACATTACTTCATTTCAATCTCAATTTGGTCAACATCTAAAACCCATAATATCCATACAAATATACAGTGGGGCAAAAAAGTATTTAGTCAGCCGCCAATTGTGCAAGTTCTCCCACTTAAAAAGGAAAGTGCAGATATATTCAGCTATACTGTACTGTAAAAATGTCCTTTCATTTTTAAACCCCAAACGCTCCTCTGACTGACAGCAGCTTTATGTGAGATCTAATTATGTGGCCGCTCTATAAAGTCCCTCTCAATAACGCTCACCCTTTAAAACAGCTCAAGTGTGAACGTCTTTAATGCTGCCGCCATTAAACATTTGAGTGACGTGTGCTTAATTTCAGCCCAAATCTGTTCCACACTCTTTTACGGCACCAAAAAACGGGCCTTTTCACATCACTGAGGACTGTAAATCCATAAGTGTGTAAAGCTGCAGCTAATGAGTGCCTGACCTTGCGTCATGTTTTATATTGTTTCCTTACAGGCCTCATATCATGAGGAATTAAATCTTCTTTGATGTTCTGGAATAAAAGTGCTTAATATGAGATGAAACTCAAAGCTTCCTATACAGCACAAAAGATAGATATTAAAAATAGGCTTCACAATGACATCTGCAAATTTATGATGCAATTAATGATAAACACATCCACACATAATCAAGTACGATGAATACAGAGTATTTCACTTGCATTTGCGACTAAAAATAGATAGAATGTAAAAATGTATTCATGCTTTTTGGAAATTTTAGGTATCTTAAAACAGAAGTCTTACTTATTTTAGGAGATCTTAAATGTGCTAGTTTCAGAGCAGTTCTCAATCAATTTGTATTACGCATTTATTGCAAACAATTGCTTATGGTCGACTGTTGATTAACTATGACAATGTTTAATTTATGGTGTTTATATTGTAATATGCTGTAGATGGTTGTAAAAGTGCATATTTTATCTCCCTCATCTGTTTGAATGAGCAGCTGGCATTAGTGAAGCTTAGACATTTAAAAATAAGAGTCTCTGTGTTTTTCGAGCTCATTTATAATGATTCAGTTTTGTTTTTTTATTTGTTTAACTGTATCTGTCATGCATTTAATTTAATGTAAACTCTTGTAGCTTCTATATATACATATGTGACCCTGGAGCACAAAACCAGTCTTAAGTGTCAATTTTTCGAAATTGAAATTTATGCTTCACCTGAAAGCTGAATAAATAAGCTTTCCATTGATGTATGGTTTGTTAGGATATGACAATATTTGATTGAAAATCTGGAATCTGAGGGTGCAAAAAAATCAAGATATTGAGAAAATCATCTTTAAAGTCGTCCAAATGAAGTTCTTAGCAATGCATATTACTAATCAAACATTAAGTTTTGATATATTTACAGTAGGAAATGTACAAAATATCTTCATGGAACATGATCTTTACTTAATATCCTAATGATTTTTGGCATAAAATAAAAATCTATAATTTTGACCCATACAATGTATTTTTGGCTATTGCTACAAATATCCCCCAGCGACTCAACACTGCTTTTGTGCTGCAGGGTCACATTTATATACACATACACACACCTAAAGTTTTTTAATGTGCTTCTAAATTTGCTCCTTGATAAAAAACACAATGATGATTATTTCTAACATCAAATAATGTCCTGTTAGTCTAATGTGGGCAACACTTCATAATAAGGTTTATTAGTTAACATTAGTTAACTACTTTAGAACTAAGAATGAGCAACACTTCTACAGCATTTATTAATCTTAGTTCATGTTAAATTCAACATTTACCAATGCATTATTAAAATCAAAAGTTGTGCTTGTTAACATTAGTTAATGCACTGTGAATTATCATGAACTAACAATGAACGACTGTAATAAATGTATTGTTCATTGTTTGTTCATGTTAGTTAATACATTAACTTACATTAACTAAACATCAGGAATTGTAAAGTGTTACCCTAATGTGTTGCTAAATTTTCTTCCTTGGGAAGAAAGTAAGTGCCAAGCGCTGGAATAGAATAGAAATTATGGAAATATTAAGTAAACGTAAATATATCAAGATTTCTCCAAATATGCAAACTTTTGCACTAAAAGCCCTAATGGATGCTGTTCAATGGAGCTATGTGAACACGAATAAGCATAATAAACACAATGTGAATATGAATGTGTGTTGTTATTCTATTCAAAATGTCAAAATCCACACTGATGCGCATTGATTTTGCATTCCATAAATTAAGAAATTATTGTCACTGTAACCGAGTTTTATCATAAACAGTGGTGAAATATTGAAGTTTAGGGACATCAGGAGGGAGTCACTATTCTCTCAGCACTTGTCTCCTGACCCATCCTTGACTCTGAGTGTGGAAGGAATCAGTGCACAGGAAGCGTTTGAAGTGCGTGCAGGAAGTGGTCTGTATTTCAGAAGCGTTCTTACAGCTGTGGCAGGTCGCTCCGCTGTAGCCCGTGGCAGAACAGTTGCAGTGAAACGTGCTCCACGACTGCGAGCATCTTCCTCCGTGTTCACAGCGACTCGGGGAGCATCTGGTGAAAAAAAAAAAAAGACAGGACATGGAAAATCATATTTGATGTTTGATCTCAAGGACAATCAGATACAGAGAAGCGCAGTCATTCAGCATTACACATGCAGCCTTTGTAGACAGTTTGAAAACCTTGCTGCTGGCTTTATCTGATCCTGAAGCGGGAAACAGTGACTTTTAGAGCGGTGCGCTTTTAGTGACATATAGGAGGAATTCTGACAGTATGACAGTTGCATGTAAATTGCAGGAATATGGAAGTTTATTTCCACCATGGTAACTGCAACATCTGACTGGTTTCTCTCAATTTTGAGTTTATATCTCACAATTCAGACTTGTATTCTTAGACTGTGAGATAAAAAGTTAAAATCAAATTATGTGCAACAGGTCACATTAAACTAACAAGACATTATTTGTTAGAAGCAATGGCCATCATTGTGTTTTGAAGCATGCAAATCAATATTAAATATGAATTAATCAAATAATGACTTAAATTTGGGTCTGTTTTTCACACAAACCATCACTTCAGAAGAAGTAGATAACAAAAATGTAATTTACATAACTTGTAAAGCACCCTGATGTTAACTGATCATAATCAAAATCAAGTTCATTATTATAATCAGAAATCTATTTGTAAATAAAGAAGTCTTAAATATAGGAAAGCAGAAAGCCTGTTTAATTCAGAGAGATGCTGAAAAATAAGCATAACATTTGCATAAAATAGGCATAAACACTGCAATGGGCTTGCAAACTCATGCAAACTGTTAACTAAAAAATTATCAAATTTTTTATTGAGTTATGTATTTCTACATATAACTGTTTGTCACTGTAAGTTCTTAAATATAAAGGCACAAAAGCCTGTTTAATTCAGAGGGAGGATGAAAAATATGCACGAAAATGCTCACACACACACGTCACAGAATCTGCAAAGTATTAATAATTTACAAATCGAGGGATCATAAAAATTGCATGTTGCTTTTTTTATTTAGTACTGCCCTGAAAAGCTATTACTGAAACTATTACGCTTTACAGTAATTATTAGCCTTTTGCAGATTCTTCAGGGTTTATGTAATCTCATATATGTTTTTGGTGCAAAAACCCTCGACTGACACGTCTGAAATAATAGTTAGTGAAATAACAACACCTGATTTGAGAACTCATTCCTGCACAAACGCTGCAGGACGACACACACGCTGAACTTTAATACTTTGTGTTTGAGGTTTCATCACACCATTAACCTCAAGATTGACTTGGCAAACACCACTAATAATCATTTATGCCACGATGCCTTGATTTAGAAGCTATAAAGCTTTGCTGAGAGCAAAGCAAGGTTAACCGAGTGACTCAAAGCAGCCACTTCGACCACAAAACACCTTCCAATTTCTCTTTGTAAAGCGAATCCTTTCTAGTCATCTCACAATATTCTTGGCTGAGCTGAAAAACAATTCCCAGCCTTTCCCAACTCTCACGGGATGATCTGCATGCTCGCGTTACCAGCGCTCGCTTTACAGCTGACATCTTTCACCAGATTTCCATTTGTGGCCACAATGATGGTCAAAGAGGATCCGTTCAAACGCTCTTTGTGCTTTTGGTGGTCGGGATAGATACACTCTCTGCTCCGGTTTCACGCTTTGTAGCTTTATAATCGTAACAGGATCGAGTGTGTCTTTCATTCCGTTCAGAACGACAAACCAAAGGGGAAAAAAAAATTAAACCACACTTTTTGGTTTGCATACACCGACAGCATATTGAGAGCAGCGTCTCTTTGTTGACTCGGATCCCATCAGAGCTTTTCAGGCCGGTCGCAGGGACACAAGCGAACGGCTGCAGTCGGCTTCACACAGAGCCGCGGCACAGCCGGACTCCTCTGTTCTCCTGAAATCTGCCACCGCGAGTAATGATCAGACTGACACACACAGAGACGGAGCGAGAAACACGCAGAAAGGATAAACCCAAGCACGACTTGCCAAACTGTTGTGTTTTCTCTGATGAGACAATCTGAGATGAACATACATCAATCATAAACAAAAGAAGTAAAGGTTTATAAATGAAATGGGGAAACTAGTCCACTTATGCACTCGTGTTCAAAAGTATGTGTTTTTTGTATCTTCTGCTCACCAAAGCTGCATTTATTTGATGAGAAATACAGTAAACACTGTAAAATTGTGAAATATTATTACAATGCAAAATAACTGGTTTCTATGTGAATATCTGTTAAATGCAATTTATTCCTGTGATCAAAGCTGAATTTTCAGCATCATTACTCCAGTCTTCAGTGTCACATGATCTTCAGAAATCAGTATAATATGCTGATCAAGAAATATTTTGGATTATCATCAATGTTGAAAAAAGTGTCTTTTTTTTCAAACTCGTATTTTAGCCGGAAGCAAAGGCTTGAATTTAAAAGCGTCTCAATAATGGATTTGTTTCAGCTTTTGTCTTCTCCAGATGTTAACTGATGGACTGGAGTGGTGTGGATTATTGTGATGTTTTTATCAGCTGTTTGGACTCTCATTCTGACGGCACCCATTCACTGGACATTTTCAGCAAATGTTCATTTTTTTAGTGAATCATAACTTTAAAGCTGAAGTTGACAATACAGTCAATTCTAAACCTGCAAATCAGCTAATGAGAAAAACAAACCCAAAATAATTTCCCATCTTGTCAATCAGTTCTGAATTCCATGATCCATCATATTTTACTGGGACTGTACAGCAGTGATCCAGACACCTTATCAGCCCTTTAAAATGCAAAAAGCATAATGAACTCCACTGCATGTGTGGATATACGAAATACTAAATATAATAAATATACTTAAATTTTCTGTAAAGCTGCTTTGCAACGATTTGCATCGTTAAAAGCACTATACAAATAAACTTGAATTGAATTGAATTGATATACAGCCTGCTTTAATGGTTTTCAACATCGTTTGATCATTGTTTAATGAATTAGTGCTGCCATGATCAATACAAAGTGCATAAAACATCAAATGAAATTCTAATTCTTGCTTTAGGTGGCTGCTAAATGCACAATGTTAATTGCACCAGGCAAATAATGCTGACTTTAGTGAATACGGCACAAGACTCATTTGCATACAAAGGAATCATGTTTGTGCTGAAAAGAATTACAAAGACTTAAGACTCATTACGCAGCACTGCTCCGCCGCATTCAACGCCTGCTTAAGCTTGAACAAAACTGTTGAGTGAATTCACACCTGTGGCTCTTTCAAACCACTGAGCGTCTCGACCAGCAATAACAGCCCAGACTCGACCATTGATGTGACTTTCTAAACAGCTAGAGAAGAAAACAGCATTAGATTCATGCTAAATAATGAGTAAGTCTATATTATTATTATTACTTTGATAGTTTCTAAATGTGTTTAAGCTGCAGTGTTTTCAGTCCATGCTCTTATTATTGCTAATGGCAAGAACTACAGTAGTTATTCATAAGGACAAGTACACAATCTAATAAATTATAATGATTTACAGTATCAGTAGGTCTCAACAGGTGGGGACCCAAAAATTTGATGCAGGTCTGTTGGGTTGTGAACAGCAAAATAAAAGCAATCAATCAATAAATCAATAAATAAACACAGTACACACACACACACACACACACACACACACACACGCACACACGCACACGCGCACACGCGCACACACACACACACACACACACACACACACACACACACAGATATATATCTTTGATTTTGATTAGGCACTTTAAAGCAGAAAATTCAGTGTTGAGATGCTTCAATGATCAATAATATTGATGAAAATATAAAAGTGCAATTATGTTAATTATACGCAATTATGTAATTAACCAACTTTGCATATGAGGGCAGCCATATTCACTAACATTCAAAACTAAGATACATTTTAATGTTTTTGAAATAAGTCTCTTCTGCTCACCAAGGCTACATTTACACACACACACACACACACACACACACACAGATATATTTGTTTGATTTTGATTAGGCACTTTAAAGCAGAAAATTCAGTGTTGAGATGCTTCAATGATCAATAATATTGATGAAAATATAAAAGTGCAATTATGTTAATTATACGCAATTATGTAATTAACCAACTTTGCATATGAGGGCAGCCATATTCACTAACATTCAAAACTAAGATACATTTTAATGTTTTTGAAATAAGTCTCTTCTGCTCACCAAGGCTACATTTATTTGTTCAAAAATAAAGTAAAATCAGAAATATTGTAAAATATTATTACAATTTAAAACAGCTGTTTTCTATGTGAATATCTGTTAAAATATAATTTATTTCTGTGATCAAAGCTGAATTTTCAGCATCATTACTCCAGTCTTCAGTGTCACATGATCTTCAGAAATCATTCTAATATGCTGCTTTGCACTGCATACTGTAAGAATGTTTTCAACTCAGGAAAAACCCTGCTGAATACTGAATACAAATGTAGTGGTGACACTGAAACAATGGGATGGAATACAAGTGCACTTGTAAAATGCAAAATGAGAATTAGTGCAGGACAGGCGGATGATAAGTGGGGCAGTAGAGCAGGAAACACTGCAGAACGGGACGTGTGACTCAAACCCATGCAGCGCTGCATTTGCTGGAATAAAGAGGCAGTTCTGCATAAACACAAAACACAGGATCTGTGGGCATGAGGCTCTTTTACCGCAGTGAGAGTATATGAATGGATGCGACTCAACGGTATGCATGATAAATAGCAACACTTCCCACTCATTACCTCTTTTTGTTTCGTATCCTTTTGTGGCTATGCACTTTTTAAGGCGACAGAATAAAAACAGGGCTTATATGCTTCTGTAGGAAAACCCTCAAATCAATAACCTGATTGGCTCTTTAAAGTGATGGGCGGGACTAGTAATGATCCTCCACACAGCAGCTGTATTTCAGTGAGTTGAGGAGGAGTCCACGTGTGTCTGAGATTCAGTGAAAGTGTCGACAACTTCCAAACTCCTCTTTATTCTCTCCATTATTCACCTTTACAATAACACTTACT